CCTTGCAACCCAAGGGACTCTCCCACACCATAATTCAAAAACATCAATTCTTCAGTGCTCAGCCTTCTTTATGGTCCAACTCTCACATTATTACATGACTACTGGAAAAACCATAGCTTTGACTATATGATATGTATGTTGACTAAAATCAGAAATGTGAAGATTTATTTTAAGCATTTTGGCTCACATGATTTTGAGGACTGTCAACAGTAAAATCTGCAAGGCAGGCTGGAGACCCAGGGAAAAAATTTGGTGTTGCAGCCTGAATCCAAAGGCCATCTAGAGGCAGGATTTGCTTTTCTTCTAATGGACCTGGCTGGGTCTTTTCTCTTAAGATCTTCAACTGATTGGATGAAGCACACCCACATTATGGAAGGCAATCTGCTGTACTCTACTAATCTAAGTGTTAATCTCATCTCTAAAAATACCTTCACAGAAACATGGAAACTGGTGTTTGACTGAACATCTGGACTTCACAGCCTAGCCAAATGAACACATAAAATTAACAATCGCAGATGGTGAACAACCTGAGTCCTCAACAGTTATTGTAAAGTAATTCAGGCTCTCCACACATATTTAATAACAGAGCTACTTTGAGTTTTAATCTCAGGCAAAAAAAAGTGTATATCTCCAGGTGGAAGTTAAAAAAAAATAAAATAAAATAAAATTTGACCACTTTAAGGAAGTTCGAGTTCTTTTCAATTATTTGGTCTAAGGCACAATTTTTCTTAGCAGGTGTTGAGGTAATAGGGAACTTCTTTTCAATCACAGAAGTGCACTACCTTTCCTGGGAAAGCTTTTATAAAATGCCATCAGTCCCTCTCCAGACCAATTAAATTGGAATTTCAGGGATGGGGTCCAGACAATGACATTTCATGAAAGCTCTTCCAAGTGAACCTGATGTGCAGTCAGATTTGAGAATCACTGCTCTAAATAAAGGACTCCTACCTCAGCATGTCTTACAAATCCAGTCATCTGATAAATCTGATGTTGCAGTCACTAAGAAAAATGAGTCACTTGTTTAGATTCATATCAGCAAAATATAAGCTTCCTTTATGATTGCTTCATATCTTACCTTAAGGTTTATTAATATTATAAACATTTTTATGTTTGTGTCTACTAGATGATGAATCCTAGTTTTTCCTTTGAATTTTAAAATTCTTATTTATTTTTTAACTATGTATCTCACAGAAAAGACATACTTGTATTTTCAGTTTTTGTCTTTTTTGTCTTTATTTAGCTTTTCATCTGTAGTTTCTTTTATTTCCATCTCCTCGAATTTCCTTTGTTTTTAATATTATAGTTTGAATATTTTCCTAGTTTTCTAAACTTTTTACTCAGTATTTAATCTTTATTCTATTTTAGACATGTTTTAATTATTTATACTAAATTATAATATGTGTATAAATGGTTTCATTGTTTATCATATTTGTCTTTGGAACAAAAACTTCCCTATTTATAAATTATTTATTTGTAATCAACTCTCAGTTGGAGAATAAATACCTTCAAGAATTTGCTTTATTTGGCCACTGTCAAAGATACATTAATAATCTGCTTCCAAATCTTCATATATTTGAAAATCATTTAATATTTTCTTAAATCTATAAACAGTATTAGAAAAGTGTTGGATTTTAAATCCTTGATATGGCAAGACTTTCTCTCAAAATACTGTAATCAGTCTTCTCCTTTCCCTTGTTAGACCAGCAATGGAAGGGGTGTTACAGAACAGATTTATTTTTGTTCCCTTTAGGTGATATTTCTTCTGTCCAGTCCCATGTAGAAATCTTTTTTAACACATGAAGTTTAATAATTCCAACAAGTTATGTTTTGTTACTGTTTTTTTTCATTTTGGTGGACATCTAGAGTTCTTTTTTTCAATAGATTTGAATTTTTCAGTTTAATAAATATTCAGCCACTATGGCTTTGAATACTTCCTTATGTTTTTTAAATTAATTAATTTATTTTAATTGGAGGATAATTACTTTACAATATTGTGATGATTTCTGCCAAACATCAACATGAATCAGCCACAGAACACTTGTTTCCACACATCCTGAACTGCCTCCCCCTCATCCCTCCACACCTGATCCCTCTGGGTTGTCCCAGAGCACTGGCTTTGAGTGCCCTGCTTCATGCATCAAACTTGCACTGGTCATCTGTTTTACATATGGTAACATACATGTTTCAGTGCTATTCTCTCAAACCATCCCTTCCTCACCTTCTCCCACAGAGTCCAAAAGTCTGTTCTTTACCTCTGTGTCTCTTTTGTAGCCTTGCATATAGGATCATCGTTACCATCTTTCTAAATTCCACATATATGCCTTAATATGCAGTATTTGTGTTTCTCTTTCTGACTTACTTCATTCTGTATAATTGGCTCCAGTTTCATCCACTTCATTAGAACTGACTCAAATGCATTTCTTTTTATAGCTGAGTAATATTCCATTGTGTATATATACCACAACTTCTTTATTTATTCATCTGCCACTGGACATCTAGGTTGCTTCCATGTCCTACCTATTGCAAACAGCTTTGCATTGTTTTCTTTAGAAATGCCACATAAGTTTATCTTGAAAAGCACCATCTGAATAACATCTAATTGGATGGTTTTCACCTTTTGACCATTTTCCTCTCTGTGGCTTTTTTATTTTGGATTCTACATAACATCTTTTGTGTTTAGCTTCTATCATGACACATTTTTCATCCACATTAGCTCTGTTGTTTAATTCTCTTTTTCTTTTAAGATCTTTTATATTATCTTTCCTCTTTTTCTTTCCTACTTCTGTCAGTACCTTTTCTGGTCTCAATAGAGTGACATTTAGTCTGTGAGTTGGTCTTAATATTGTTTAAAGCATTAAGCAGTACACACATTTTTTTTTCTGCTTGCTAGTATAAATCTTCATAAATGTTGTTTTGTGCATATTTTCATTAACAAATCAATCATCTTTTTTACTGGAAAACATTCACAACAATTCCATACAATTTTATACTTACAAAGTTCATTCAAAGCCACTCTCTTGGAACTTCTCTGGCAGTCCAGTGGTTAAAGATCAGTATTATAATGCAGGCTACTCAGATTTGAGCCCTAGTCAGTCAGATTTTTAAATATTTGGTCAAGGCAATTTGCAAGGCTTCTGAGGTCAACCATTTCAAATGATATTGCCACAGCAATGTCACTCCATCACCACACCAAATCTTTAAGCTATTATTCCTTATCACAAAATCCTGGCAAATAAAAAGCACAACAAATAGAAAGACCCATTCCTTAGTCCTTTGCAATACCTACTGTGAGCAAGATGTGTGTGTCACCATTATAAAGTGTCCAAAATTAAACAGAAACTTGGTTTTAAAATGCTTGAGAATTGATGTTTAATTTGACCTAAAAACCAAATAACCAATGCTTGGTTTACAAAAGATAGCCCAAATATTATAGCCAATTAATTAGTTCTAATACTTATTTTAAAAGACTTCCTAGGGCAAAGGAAACTTTATTAGAAGCCTTATTCTAACTCTCTGTTCCTAGAATATGCTCAAGATCACAAAAGCAGAAGCAGCAAATATAAGTGTTTTGTTTTATTTTTTTTTCTGAATGTATGAATTTTTACTTTGTTTTCCAAATGTGAAAAATAAACTCTAAAAACTGAAATATTTTTGTTGAGAAGCAAGTACTTAACATCAAAATATTTAGAGGTAGCTTGCAAACTTGTCTTGAGAGGAAAAGCATTCAAATAGACTCAGAGAAGAAAGATTTCTCTTAGAAGACGATGTCAGAACAAATGGGATGTGTTGAAAGTCACAATCTAGGAGAAAGGCCAATGGCATCTTTTTAAATTTTTTATTTTATACTGGAGTATAATTGATTAACAATGTTGTGTTAGTTTCAGGTACAGAAAAGCAATTCAGTTATACATATACATGTATCCATTCTTTTTCAAATTCTTTTCCCACTTAAGTTGTTACATAATATTGAGTAGCATTCCGTGTGCAGCTGATTTCCTCCAGCAGTTGTAATAGCTCTAGTCAGCTTGCTCCAAGATTTCTTGTTTCACATATCTCAAAAAATGTTAAGTGTTTAATCCTGTTCCCCTTCATTACTGACACTTGAACCCAAGATACAACCAACCACTTCTGTCCTGGACTAGTACACTTGTCTCATGGATAGACTTCTCTTTTCATTGACCTCTCTCGTCTAATCCTTTCTCCCACATAAGATAGGAAAATTTGGGTGTGATATCTGTGTTTATATTTAGAAATAAAGTAATAGATACACATACCATGGAATAAGAAATATGTCAAAGAACCAATATTTGGATTCAACCAAAAAAGGAACATAGTCTTATCCTAAGTGTGCTCATCCAGCTTTCCAAGAGGCTGCAAATTCTGAAATCAATGATCTCTGACAAAGAAACCAGACTACTTAATAAAGACTTTTTATTAAGAAATTGATATTTTTGCTCCATTTTCTTGTACTCCAATTGTATATTCCTCCTGCATTTATGCAAATAGCCACAGCACAGAAAGAAAAAAGGTGTAAGAAGTTACACCTGAAAAATGATCAGAATGAGATCTTCTATCTTCAGTGATGTGATGGAACTATTCTCTCTCCATCAATTGCAAAGAGCTTCTTAGACATTAGGGACTTCCCTGGTGGTCAGACGGTAAGGAGTCTGCCTGCAATGCAGGAGACCCAGATTCGACCCCTGGGTTGGGAAGATCCCCTAGAGAAGGAAATGGTGAACCACTCCAGTATTCTTGCCTGGAAAAATCCCACGGATGGAGGAGCCTGGCGGGCTATAGTCCACGGGTCACAAAGAGTTGGACATGACTAAGCAACTTCACTTTCTTTTTCTTTTCTTAGAAGTTAAATCAGGTTCCTGACAGACAGTAGTAATTTCTTACTTTGGTGTGAAGTTAATGGTGGGGGCGAGAAGAGGTGGATTTCAACCGAAGTTGTACTTGGAGTGATCATTTCAAAGGTACAATATGATCTGCAATGATGATTAGCAGCAGGAGGAGTAGCAAATTCTGTAGCAAAGTGGTTGGTAACTGCAGCAGCCTGAGCCACATCCATGACTATAACCAGGTCCTCAGCCATAGTGGAAGTCATAGCCACAGCTAGAGTCATAAGATAAAGGCTTCAGAGTAAAGCCTTCACTTAAGGTGTAGGAGGATTTCTAAAGTCTGAACATCATCTTCTCTTCCAGGACCTTTTAGATACTTCCAGGAATGGATGGGTCATACCTCACACGGGCTCTCTTCTCTAATTGTGCAACTATTTGCCTAAAATGAACACATTCTGATTTTTAAAAAAAAAAATTCTTTAGTTTGACATTTTTTATTCCTACCCTAGGAATTTTCTCAAGCCTTTAAGCACCCAAACTTATACTGGCTTCCCAGGTGGCTCAGTGGTAAAGAATCTGTCTGCCAATGCAGGAGGCACTGGAGATGTGGGTTCAATCCCTGGGTTGGGAAGATCCTCTGGAGGAGGAAATGGCAACCTGCTCCATATTTTTTCCTGTGAAATCCCAGGGACAAAGGAGCCTTGTGGGCTACAGTCCGTGGGGTCACAAAGAGACTAACACTTGGCCTTCCCTGGCGGCTCTGATGGTAAAGACTCTGCCTCCAATGTGGGAGATCCAGGTTTGATCTCTGGGTTGGGAAGATCTCCTGAAGAAGGGAATGGCTACCCACTCCAGTATCCTTGGAACTTTCCTCAGTTCAGTTCAGTTCAGTTCAGTCGCTCAGTCATGTCCAACTCTTTGCGACCCCATGAATCACAGCACACCAGGCCTCCCTGTCCATCACCAACTCCCGGAGTTTACTCAAACTCATGCCCATCGAGTCAGTGATGCCATCCAGCCGTCTCATCCTCTGTCGTCCCCTTCTCCTCCTGCCCTCAATCCCTCCCAGCATCAGGGTCTTTTCCAACGAGTCAACTCTTCACATGAATGGATCAGAATACAAAATGCAAAGACGTTGTTACAGTATCAAACTTCTTGGATGAGCCATTTACTAATCTTAAGGCCATGGAAAGTGTTCTCAAATTCATGAAACTCAGTTTTGGGAACTGCTAAATGGGAATAAAAATAGCTACACATGCTTAAAAATTGGTCAAGAGGTCTATGGGAATTATATGGCAAATAAAAAGGTTGTAGCACAGATCCTGACATATAGTGGAGACACAATACATTCTATTTCTTTCCCCCCGTCTTTAATTCAAGTATAAGCATTTCCAAATAACAACAGCAATCAGTGAAGACCAAGTGAAGTTGCTCAGTCATGTCCGACTCTTTGTGATCCCTTGGACTGTGGCCCACCAGGCTCCTCCATGCATGGAATTTTCCAGGCAAGAGTACTGGAGTGGGTTGCCATTTCCTTCCCCAGGGGATCATCCCAACCCAGGGATTGAACCCAGGTCTCCTGCATTGCAGGCAGATGGTTTACCACGTGAGCCACCAGGGAAACACTAACAACAGCAATACATATTTTCAAATATCTATATTTGAAAATGTACTGATATAGTTATTATAGCAAAATTTTAATATTCATGTTAATGTTTCTGTGTTTTTTTTTTTATAATAACCTTTCAAAAGTGACCCAACTCCCTCAAAAAATTAATTACCATGCAATTGGACACATTGTACCTTGCCTGAAGCATCTTAAATCATATTTTGGTAAAAATACAGTATGAAGCAATACATTACAGGTCTTGGCTTCATAGCATATTTTGAAGCTCAGTTATCATGAACATCTATTAAAACTATAAGTGCCTAACTTGAGAACAAGCTTATTTATTTAATAAAATAGCTAAATATCTCATTTCCAGATTGTCACAGGTGTGTGTGTTTAGTTTCTTAGTTGTGTCTGACTCTTTGTGACCCCATGGACTGTAGCCCAGGTGCCTCTGCCCATGGGGATTCTCCAGGGAAGGATACTGCAGTGGGTTACCATGCCTACTCCAGGGGATCTTCCCAACCCAGGGGTAGAACACAAGTCTCCTGCATTGCAGGTGGATTCTTTACCATCTGAGCCACCAGAGAAGCCCAAGAATACTGCAGTGGGTAGCCTATCCCTTCTCCAGTGGATCTTCCCAACCCAGGAATTGAACCGGGGCCCCCTGCATTGAAAGTGGATTCTTGACCAGCTGAGCTACCAGAGAATAGGGTTTCTATGTAAAAGTAAAGTCAGTTTTTATTTGGAAGTGACCATATTGAAATTGACATGAATATAGAGATGAGTCAGGTGTGTTTATAAAGTGGTTCCTCCTGATTCTAGAGATCATACTCCAAAAGTTCTATGAGAATCTCACTGATAACCAGTATACTTTTCCCCTCTTTCCACTAGATGTCAATTCAACCTGAGTACAAATGTGATTTGGCCCAACTCCCCAGCCATCTAGTCAATTTTCTCTACCCATAAAGAATACTGAAATATTTTCCATTTCAGATGTCTATACTTGATCCTTAAAATCATTTGGTGAAACTAGTAGATTTATAAATTATAAAGTCATTTAACAAAGGCTAGGGCTCAGAAGGGTTTGATTCCAAATCAAATTCACATTTCCAAGTTTTCTTGGTCTCACATACAGTGAGAATACTATAGTATTCTCCAGAGCTATGCAAATGACTTCTCCTTGAATATTTTCAGTGATGGAAACTCTCAACTTCCTGTTTTAAACAATCCCATTTTATTATGAAATCTCTTTTTGTTAGTGCTTCTATACAACCCAAATCTCTGGGAAGCCCCCGATAGGAGTTGCTAGGGTAACTTAAGATCTTTGCATGCATAACAATTCTTTTCCTCTGCTCTCTAGTTTATCCCCCATGAAATATCTAATGCAGTCTTTGGTTAATAAGAAATATTTCTATCTTGCCTTCTTTAGGTTCAAGCTTCTGCCAGTACTGCCCTCTAACTTTGCTAATACACTTGCTGTTACCTCACGGCAACCACAATGCCTTTTCTCTTCTGTAGGATAAGATATTCAAAACAGCATTTCCAATCATCTATGGCCATCTTCCAAACCTATAAAAAGTTGCTTCTCTCATCTCTCTTATTATTTTTAAGAACATTACCATTTTTTCAGTGATTCTGATTCTATACCTGGCAGACAGTGTTTAAACTATAGGATCAACATTTTTTTTTTTAAATTAAAGTAGCAAGAAGTGCTAAAGTTCAGATAAATCAATCTGGCTTCTGTGTGTTTTAATTTATTCATAATATTCAGATTAAGTAAAATGTAGCATAATAATCAGACACCCTCAGACCTGGATAAACCTTTCTGACACCAAAATCCATTTTTGTCTATTAGGTTTAGAAAACCATCACATATTAAGAAATTCTTGTTACTCAGTTGCTAAGTTGTGTCTGACTGTTTGCATCCCCATGGACTGCAGCATGCCAGGCTTCCCTGTCCTTCACTGTCCCCTAGAGTTTGCTCAAACTCATATCCTTTGATTTGGTGATGCCATTAAGAAATCAGTCTTCTTTAATTCCAAATATATTCATTAAATTGTGGCTCTTGGAACCAGAAGACCAATATTAATCTATCTTTCTCATAAGAATTATTTTAAAATGTAGACAGTGATCCTGTCAACACAAAGTGCTATGAGGCTTGATAGTGTTAGTAGCTCAGTTGTGTCTGACTCTTGGTGACCCCATGGACCCTAGCTTGCCAGTCTCCTCTGTCTAGGCCAGAATACTGGAATGGGTAGCCATTTCCTTCACCAGGGAATCTTCTCAACTCAGGGATCAAACCTGAGTCTCCTGAATTGCAGGCAGATTCTTTACCAACTGAGCCATTAACAAAGCTATGAGATATCCACTACGAAGTATTCACTCTCTTAGCCTAGCTTCCTCCATCATTCCCCTCACTCTCTGAGCTATCTTTGCAAATTTCCAAGTGCAGATAATAGAACATACCCCCTCACCTATTCCAATATCCTCCAAATAAGATAGCTTTCTTCTTTTCCTCCAGTGTCCAATATACACACACAAAAATGATTTGAATTTGTGTTTTAGTGTTGATATGAAATGTGACAAAGAAGCAGAAAAGGAATGAAACTGTAAATGCAAAACAAAAATGGCTGACTAGACCAATAATTTCTTGAAGTAAAATCCAAACAAATCTCACATCCTTATAATATGAGCTTGTATAATCTGGCTTCTAGCTACCTCTCTAGCCTCAATTTTTTCTGCTTTCCTGTCACATGGACCTGTTTACAGTCCCTGATCTGCCTGCCAAAGCAGGAGATGTGGGTTCAATCCCTGGGTCAGGAAGATCCCCAGGAGGAATCTTAAGGAAAAGGCAACACCTTCCAGTACTCTTGCCTGGAGAATTCCATGGACAGAGACCCTGGTGGGCTACAGTCCATGAGGTCACAAAAGAGTCAGACAAGGCTAGCAACTAAACAACAACAGCAAAGCCTGTTGAATAGCTATCATCTTGAAGCCTTTATACACGTTCTCTTCTCTGCCTGGATTATTCCCCCAAGTTCTGAGACCTACCAATTTACCACAAACACAGACTTAGTTGTCACTTCCACAGACATTTAACCTGATCTTCCTGTCTGAAAGGGCATTATGTGATTTTTTTTTAAATTAGACTTTACTTTTTTAAAATTTATTTTAAGTAATTTATTTATTTTAATTGGAGGCTAATTACTTTGCAATATTGTGGTGGCTTTTGCCATACATAGACTTTACTTTTTAGAGCAGTTTTACACTTAACAGCAAAACTGAGCAGAAGGTGCAGAGATTTCTGTATAGCTTCTGCCCCCACACATGCATAATTTCTTCCATTGGCAACATCCTCCACTAGAGGGGTACCTTTGTACTGTTTTCATATTCTTATCTTCCACCTTTATATCTTCTTTAATGTGGTGTCTGTAAAGGTCTTTGGCACAGTTTTTACTCAGGTTGCTTGTTTTCTTATTTTTGAGTTTTAAAAATTCTATTTATATTTTGAATATCTGCCCTTTATCATAAATAACTTTTGCAAATATTTCCTCTCAGTTTTTGGTTTGTCGTCTCATTTACTTGACATTGCCTCTCATACACCAGAAGTTTTTGAATAT